GGTCATCATTTCATTCATAAAATTTGACAGTTTATGTGTCAAAAAAATTGTGCAACAATATAAGGGTCATCATTTCATTCATTCACTAATAAAGCTTCACAATACAATATTCTAACCAAAATGCCATTACACCAAATACAACTTCAATAGCTAACCAAAAAGCTTAACAACACAAAAACTAACAACAACTGACACAATAACACAGGTTACAACTAGCTTGATCTTGGAATTTTGTTCTTGCATTACCCCCCCTTTCACCCTTGTTCATGATGTTCTTCATCATATGAAGTTCAGAAGCAAGGCGCCCCTTCTCATGTTCAGTACATGCCAATCTTGTTTTGAGAATACTCAGATCAGTGGAAAGCCAATGCTTTTCTGCTATTAGCACATTAGTTATATCCCTCTACCAATCTAGTATTTCCTCGTCCACCCATTCAAATGTATTATAACCTCTTTGCCCTGTTTCGTGGTTGAAGAACTTGCAAGCAACAAATTTTCTCTGTGGATTTTCATGGGTCCATGAAGTCCTTCTAGCAACTGGAAACCCACATCCACATCTCTTCTCTTCAAATCGAGCCATAGTGAGTACCAATTTCCTGGAAATTAAGCAACAAAAAAAAACCCAATCAAAACCCTAGAAATTTTAACTTCGGCTAAATTGAACAAGAGATAAGGAATTACTCACCTAATTCATACCAAAATTCAAATCGCGACCTTATGATTGTTGAATGACAGAGTACAATTCGAAAATGGGGACAAATTTCAAATCTGGAATCAATTAAAGATTAAGAGGGATTTTTATGTAAGAAAATTAGAGGGAAAAGGGGTGTAATTAGAAGAAAAGAGGAACACGTGCTAGTCACGTGGGGGTCAACGCCAGAATCCGGTGGTCAATGCCCTGAAAGTGAGGGTTGGTCTCCCTTTACAAAAAAAATTATAAAGTGGTTTGACTTTGTCAAAAAAATTTATAAGGTTGTCCCAAACAAAAAGTGTTTTATAAAAGGTTGTCTCTGACAAATTTTCCATTGATTAATTAGTGTTGTTTGATCACTTTAAAAAAAACTTTTAATTAATTAATTCACATAGTACTCTTTCGTTAATCAAGACTAGAATTTGAATAATTAATTGTTGTTTTATCACTTAAGACAAGGCGAATATTGTTTATTTATTGTTCTTTCACGAATGTTGATTAAATAAGAATAATGACTTTTGCAATGTAATTCCTAAATGATTAATGCGTGTAAATAAAATCAACTAACTTAGGGTTCGTTTGGCATTGCTGTAGTTTTTTGTTTTTTGGTTTTTTATTTTCTAAAAGTATATGATATGAGTCCCATAATGAATCAAAAGTTATATAAACTTATTAAAATTATGATAATTTTGAAAACTGACAACAGAAAAGTGTAAACACCTTTTTCTTGTTTTCTGTTTTTGGTTTTAAAAAAAAAACAGGAAACTGAAAACCAAAATTGATGCCAAACAAGCCCTTAGTTTTAGGTATCGTGTTGCATATATTGTTTGGTGATGAAATTATGAAAAATGAAGAGCTAGTAGAGGCCGCACTAGGGCTAGAATAGCGATTCCTCCCTAAAAGGAACGTTATTTAATTACCCTCGCTCACGAACTCATTTCTGGTTAATGTAGACCAATTTGGGCATGGGTAAACTTACGATTCGTGCTAATTATCCCATGAACTCCACATGGGAGAAAGGCATGAACGAGGTTTATGAGTTTTCCTAAAACTCATTGGCGACTCCCTACTTGTTTCTTATAAAAAAAGCGTGATGACAAGATCAATTCTAATTCAAGGTCCCCCAAACAACCAGGAACTCAAATCCTAATACACCCTAACAAGTGTAAAGTCCTAGGCTTCTAAAGGGCCAATGGGCATCTAAGGAGAAGATCCCCTACGATGGGAACACCCTCCTTACTGCTGGCAGCGAGATGCTCCAGCCCAGCCCAGCATACACTGCCCGCAAGCAGCGCTCGCAGCAGGTGCCAGCAGGAGCTGGGCACGAGCAGGTTGGGCAGCGGGGTAGCTGCTCCCCGAGTGTTGGCAGCCAGGTGCGCCAGCAGCTGAGTGAAGGAGGGGAGTCAGTTCAGTCCGCAACCGGTTTGTGGGGTAGTGATGAAGACCGCAACATGGTTGCGGCATCCTCTAAGGTTCAGCATGAAGCGAATTCAATTCGATCACTGAAATTCAAGAAAATGTTGAAATATTGGGCCGAGGAAAGCGGATAAAGTTTCCTTCAACAAATCTTCGTGATTGTGTTACGCATACTATTCAGAAAAATCAAGTCCTATCATTGTCATCCGCGGAATCACCTTCCTCATGTACTCCTTATCCTATAACCTATTTTGTTAATTATGATCGGTTTTCCGAGAAACATAGAAATTATATTGTTGCAGTGACAGAGGCACAGATTTCGAGATCCTTTAAGGAAGAAATGAGACATGAAGGGTGGAGAAATGCAGTGGCATCTGAGATTAAGGCCTTAGAATACCAAGGTACGTGGACCTTGGAGACACTTCCGAAAGGGAAGAGAGCACTTGGAAGCAAGTGGGTTTACACTGAGAAGAGGGATGAGGAAGGCAAACTGATTAGATTAAAAGCTAGATTGATTCTTGGAAATCATAAAGAGAAAGGAATAGACTACAATGAGACGTTTGCTCCGGTGGCAAAGATATCTACGGTTCGTACTTTTCTGGTTGTTGCAGCAGTGAAGGAATGGGAGGTGCATCAAATAGATGTACACAATGCCTTTCTACATGGAGAGTTGGAGGAGGATATTTACATGAAAGTTCCCCCTGGGTTTCAGAAAAAACAATTCAGATAAGGTGTGCAAAATGAAGAAATCATTGTACTGGTTAAAACAGGCGCCTAAGTGTTGGTTTAAGAAATTGTCCACGGCTCTTAAGAAATATGGTTTCAAGCAGTCATATAATGATTATTCGCTGTTTACTTTGTCAAACGGTAAATTGCAATTGAGTGTGTTAGTTTATGTGGATGACATGATTATTGCATGTAACAGTAAATTTGCATTGGAAAGTTTTAAAGCATATATGCGTGAATGTTTTAAAATGAAAGATCTAGGAGCTGTGAAATATTTTTTGGGATTAGAAGTGGCCCGTAGCAAACATGGATTTTATGTTTGTCAGAGTAAGTATGCCTTGGGTATTATTTCAGAGACAGGATTGTTGGATGCTAAACCTGCAGACTTTCCGATGGAGCAGAATCACAAGTTAGTAGTTTCAGGGGGGAAAGAGTTCGCAGATGTTGAGAAATATAGGCGTCTGGTAGGACGTCTAATATATCTGGTTGTGACTAGACCAAACTTGGCATACTCAGTGCATATTCTATCTCAGTTTATGCGGTCTCCAAAGGAAGAGCATTGGGAAGCAGCTTTGAGAGTGGTTCGTTATCTAAAGAAGTGCTCGGGCCAAGGTATTCTTCTTAGATCTGATAGTTGCAGTTAGAAGGTTGGTGTAACTCAGATTGGGCAGGATGTCCATTAACTCGACGTTCTTTGACTGGTTGGTTTGTGTACTTGGTTTATCTCATGTGTCATGGAAGACCAAGAAACAACCAATGGTGGCTACGAGTTCGTCAGAAGCAAAATATCGATCAATAACAGGCTTGACATGTGAATTGAAGTGGTTGAAGAGAATGCTTTATGATTTAGGGGTTGAACACAATCCAGGGATGAAAGTTTTTTGTGATAGTCAGTCAGCCCTACATGCATATTGCAAATAATCCAGTTTTCCATGAACGGACTAAGCATATTGAAGTTGATTGTCATTTTATTAGAGATGCAATTAAAGAAGGTCTCATCTGTCCGTCATATGTGTCTACGAAGTTGCAGTAAGCAGATATCTTCACAAAGGCGTTGGGAAAGGCGCAGTTTGAGTTTATTCTTAACAAGATGGGCATTCGAGATCTCCATGCTCCATCTTAAGGGGGGGATGTTGAGATAATATTATGTTTATGGAAAGATAATATTTAGGAGATATTGTTAGGAATCCTTAGTTATCTTTATGTTAATATTTGATTTGATATGTTTCCTAAGCCTAAGATAATTAGGTGCTACGGTTATAAAAACACTAGCCCTGGATGTTTACTTAACTTATGGCTGGAATAAGATCTTCAGTTGCTTTGCTAACGTAGAGAATCTCGTTCTAACGGACTCGTTTTGGCGGGTAATTAAGTAAGCTGAATTTGAAGCTTCAAGATTTAGCAGGCTAGCAGCTAAGCATTTCTTCACTTTTTTCTTCACTCATTACTGCTGGATTTGCAGACATTAATTGAACACGAGTCTACTGAAATAATTCTGAAAGAGTTGGGACAATTTCGTACTTTGAATTTGGTAGATACGGAACTATATAATCATTACAACATTTCTTTTATTCTACACTTGTTTGCAAGCTCCCCACAGTTGGAGAGACTATCCATTAAAGTAAGTTTAAGGAATTTTCTACTCATATGATCTGTTCACTATGTTATCAATTTCATTGTTATGTTTGATTAATTTATTCTTCGACGACTACTCTGATTTGCCTCTGTATCATCTTTAGGCTAAAGAAAATGCTCGGGAGAAGATTGATCATGCATGGGAGGAGTATATAGGGATAATAGGGTAGAGAATATAATGCGGCATTCCTTATTTTCGAAAGGAAAAATGAGAAACAAATTGTACCGGTGTCTAATGTTCTGCTTTGTGGAAACCAAGGGATATAAAGAACAAATCTATCAATAGGGCCAGTGTGACGAAGTAGTTCTAATGTACACTCTTACATTTTAGTAGCAAGTTGCTGATAATATCATTGCTCTCATCACTAAGCTGCACTCTGATTCCTGCAACTATGTCATCAGCTTACCAGGAAATGGAAATTGCTAGTAAACCCGAGCTTATACTGCTTCTCATTCTTACAAAAATCATATTTATCCAAACACCCACCCACAACTCATTCCAAACACTGATAAAGTACAAAGAACGATGAAATAATTCAATAAAAGTAAAGCTTATAACCAAATAAAAAAGAAAGTACTTGCATTGTTATATAGTACATTGAGCATTTTTTCCCAAAAAAAAAAAGAAAAAAAAAGGAAAAAAAAATACATTGACCATGATCCCTGGTACCATCTAAGCAAGTATCTCTTATTCTATCCAATATTAATTGAGAAGAGACACTTACTACAACAAAGTAATTAGCACTTTCCTTTGAGAGTGAGGGAAAGCTCAAGTGGTTAGAGCTTCTGTGGCTCTCTAAACACCAAAAATTAGCACTTTCCTTTCATCTACTCTGTTGAAGGTTTGACAAGACAATAGTGGATACATAATTTCTAATAAACATGACATACAAAATTTACTGAATGCTTTCAGATACTTCTGTCGAAACTGTATATGTAAGTTACTCCATGTGTCGTCTGAAGAGTGAAGCGCATACAAGAAACGACTAAGATATTCAACAATCATCAGAGGCCAAGTTTGGTGAGCAACTCACACCATCTTGGAGTTTCTTCATCAAATATATAGGTGAGAGGTGAGACGAGGACTCCACTGCCACCAATCTGCATCAGACAATTGTTGAGTATTAAACAATAGTAGTGAGGATATCAATTGAAGAAAGATAACAATGGCAGCCTCAGGTAATTTGGCATTGAAGTTCAAAATGAACTAAAATTTACAATTATAAGTGATTGTTTGATTTGATTCAAACTCAATAAAATCCAAAAGCAATCAAAGGAATTTGTGGTATAATTGCACCCTGATGCTATTCCAACTCATTGAGCAATTTAATCCTATAAAAAAAGGGAGAAGTGTGGGTTATATGAAATTGTAATACAGGCAAGGTGTTCAAACACATGTTATCAGTGAATTTCTAATCAATTATTAAAGAAAACAGTTTATCTTGGACAGCATGTGAGATGCATATATCCCTAATTTAGGATTAAAAAAAAAAAAAAAAGTATAGAGGAACAGAGTCTAGTACCACAGCACACAGATTTTTAATAACTAAATAGACTGGAGCTAGATTACTAAGAATAGCATCTTTCAAAAAAAAAAAATTACTACGAATAGCATAATTAAAGAAGTGCATAAAACAATAATATACTACCTCAATTTTATAAGTTGACACGTTTTGACTTTAACACTATTCATGCACCTCCTTTTGACCATATTTTGTGATTTAAAAAGAAAAATTTAGGCAAGTGAGATCTTGTTAGATTCGTCACAATGTATATATTCAAAATATCAACTTTTTATAATTTTTGCTTATCTATCATAATTAAAGATATTAATGATTTTGTGCATTGGCAAACATGACTAAAGAAACGTGTCAACTAAAAAGAAACGGAGGAAGTATTAAGTAACTCGATCCACTCTAAATAAGCCTCAAAATATAATATGGAGTAATAAACTTCCATCAACATTCCTAATCCAAATGTCCAAAAGAAAGAAGAAACATAAGGGCAAAGTTATCCAAAATGTCAGTCAAATATCAACAAGCACAATGTTGACACAAAAATTTCAAATCCAACCATGAATCGAGCCAAAGCAGAGTTTGATAAGATTGTGTCTCAAATAGCTATTCCGGCTAACAATTTTCATAGTTGATTTAGAATCGAAAGTGGTCCCCCAATGATCTGTGTTGCAAAGGTGATTAAGATAATGTGCGAATTAAAGGATCAGAGAAATCTGCTAAAGATCTTGAAGTTATTCTTTTAAAGCCTTATTGTAATATTCTAGGCCTTCTAATTATTTCCTACTTATTAATTGTTTGAATTTAGAAAATTTTGAAAGGAAAGGTGTATCTAGTTGAATCTAGAAAAGTTGTTCAGTTCACTAATTTTAGTTGATCGACAGTACAGTTTGGTGTTTGCAGCCCCACAAATACAGATTTAACGCTCATCAAAAAGATATCTCGGTTGGGTTTGAATGTTTCCAATAAGCCTTAAATGAGTTAAATTTAAAAGAGTTACTCAATTGGGACCAGTATTCAAGTCCTTGTAAGTGTGTAGAAATGATCACAATTCTATCGTTAGTGTTCTCCATTACAATAATAGATTCGTTCTCTTCCTCCTACATATCATTGTGTCTTATTCTCATTCATAGTCATTTTTATTAATCTCGCATATCACCAAGTAGAAGATATCAATATGGTTCTTGCCAGAATCATTTACACATATCACAACTATACATCCATTTGGGAAGAATCAGAGTTTGGCAAGCAATATGAATCATAGCATCAATATCAAAGGGTGAAAGAAAAATACTTACAGCTCTAAGTTGCTTAACAGATGTATAGAGGTCCTTTTTTGGTACACAGATACATATAGCATAATAATCTGCTGACACCTTCCCATCCTTTTTGCAAAAAACAGGACTAATAGTGGGCCCCTACATGAAAGTATAAACAGTACTGAGAATGATGGTATTACAAGTTATTTCACTGGTGCTAATATTTGATTGCCACATCTTTCAGGAAATAAATGATAAATGATTGGACTTCACAAAAAACCACTCTATAGAATGGGTGATGGAGAATCAATAAAGATGGTCAAATTATTGTACGAAAATAATATTCTTAATTATATAAAATGGGTGATGGAGAACTATGTAATCAGTCTGATGACAATTTACAGAGAGAGATATTCTCAGTTTATAGAAACTGGCCCATAGTCAAGATTCAAGAATAAATACATCACCTGCAGTCCAGATAAAGATGATTGGCTAAGTATTCTCTAAGCTTCTTCCTGTGCACTACTGCCCCTCATGTTTGCAACAAAAAAAACACGAGGGAGTACTCGAATCAAAGAAGTGGTATAGTGGTATGTAGTTGGTATTACGGTATATCCAGTTGGCAACTTTAAAAAAATAGGGTCATATACCCGATAATTCAGATCGAAATGAGGGAACCAAAACTCAAAAGGGAGACCCAACTTCAATTTTTAAAAAATTCCACGTGAGCCAACAACACAACGTGGTCAAAAGTATTCTGTTAAACTTCGTTCTTTACACCTCACTATATAAAATGGGTGACAGAGAATCTATAAAGATGGTCAAATTATTGTACAAAATCATGTTCTTAATTATATAAAATGGGTGATAGAGAACTATGTGATGACAATACAAAGAGGAAGACATATTCTCAGTTTCCCAGTTTATAGAAACTGGCCCATAGTCAAGAATAAAAACATCACCTGCAGTCCAGATAAAGATGATTGGCTAAGTATTCTCTCAGCTACTTCCTGTGCACTACTGCCCCTCATGTTTGCAACAACCTGTTAAAAAGTATTAGCAATAAAAAGAAAAGAAAAAATAATTGTGAGACAGGAATAGAGGGATAGCATGCACACCGTAAATTGACCTTCTGCCCTTAGGTGTGCCTCAAACCTCTCTAATATCTCATGAGTTGTGTCAAGAACACCTTTACGATTAACCAAGGATTTCCTGCTTGCAACAAGCACAGCCTGAATTTTGTGTGTCAATGTAAGATCTTTGGAAGTAAGGAAATATATATAAAACAGTGAATATCTTCACAAATACAAGACAGTACCTGGCTCTGCAACACAACCCCACCTTCAATTTCTTTCAAATTATTCTCTTTTAAGGTTGTCCCACTACTTACAAGGTCCAATATTGCATCAGCTATCCCCATCTGATAGTCAAGGAAGGATGTTATGCCTTGAGCAAATCACAAAAGTCAAGCAGCTTTAGGGAAATTAAAATATACACAGAGTAGTCTACAGCTCATACCTAGTATGCATTGTGTATTGCCTTTAGTAAATTCTTTTGGTACAATTTGTAAATTGCCACTTTACATGTTACATGTCAATATGACATGATTCTAATGTCTATAAAGAGGCTGGCTAAACAGCTTTACCCCTGAAACAGATTGCTAGTTTCAAATTGAGTCTCGATCCAAAATGCAATAGCTGATATAGCTTTCATGTGTCTTTAAGATACATTTACAGTTCAAAAAGCTACTCAATTAGTTCTGTCATAATAGGCTAATAGAGCCTTAGTCCTACAGTTACAGGGAGACTGTTAAATGAGTTTCACATCAAGCATTTCTTTTGAAGAGATGACAGATATCATGACAAGTAAATAACTGCCAAAGGCATGTGAGCATATTTTATTATGATGTACAAAATGTTAATACTAGTATACTACTATGACCTAGAAAATGATGGGGATCCTGAAGATAGCTGGAATGCTCAAAATTTGTATAGAAAGGATAATAATATTAAAATAAAAGTGCTGGACACCCAGAAGCCATACGGCACTGCATATAAATGCTGGATTATTACTTCAACAGAAGACCCAAAATCATGTATACATGTCAAAGCTACCATATGTTAACAGTATTAGATCTTTTTCAGCTCCATAGAACACAAAGATGTAGAGCACATCACAACAGCAGTCATAATATTTGTACACATTACATAGTCCATCTATAGAAAATAAGGGTTTGAACTTGTCCATATTAAATTATTAACATGTAAAGATCTATTGTTCCCACTTCCCAGATCCACTACTTCGGCCCATTTGGTTGTTGGCAATAAACGGTAACCATGGTAATGATTTTATAAGTAAATTTTGTAAAGAAGATTCCATGCCAATGCCCATTGGTAATTCTAGCCCCTCTTCAAATACCACATTTTCTGCACAAATTTCCATTCCCATCCATTATCAATTTAGAGGTGGTTTTATGTGGTAATGAAAATTTGTGCACAAAAACACATATTTGTAGGAAGAGTTTCATTGACATGGTAATGACCATAGGATTTAGCTAGCAAAACTACATACAAATACATTACCATTCTCCAATTTATACCTGCTTACCAAACGTGCCATTAGAGTAAAATATAAAATTACAAAGAAAGCAATTCACATATCAAATAACAATCTTACAGCAGGTGCTGCCTCAAGTGCTCCATCTGCAGTTGAAAAAGTAACATGCTCCAACCCATTTTCCCTGAAAAACTTTGGACCAAGCTGTATATTGAACATAACAAGGAAATTTTCAGTGACATAAATATCAAATTCACTCTAACTAAAACCAGATAGTTGGAACACAAATTATATGATAGTCCCAAGACACATCCTGAAGCCATCCCCCCCCCCCCTCCCTTTTCTCTGTCTCTCTTTTTTAATCCTTTGTCAACATTACAGGTATATCTACTTATTCCAACAGGATCACAAAGAACCAATGAAATTTATAACCAACAAAAACAATTTTCTTACATAAGTAAAACCAGTGGCGACTCGCAGAGGTCTGTCAGCTGTCCATTGAGGCATTTCTGCAAGCTCCTTCAAGGAATTTATGTTTTCAAATATGCCGTATTTAGGAATCTGGAAAACAAAGACGGTATCAAATTAAAATTATCTAATTCCTCATGTAATCATAATTAGAAAATTAAACCAATGAAACCTACTGCAATTGATAAGTGGCACTGCCCATAATCCAGAGCATTGTGAACAATAACAAGATCTTCACTGTCCTGCAGCATTGTTTTGAACAAAAGAATTATACTAAGTCATTCAAGAAACTATGGCGATAAAAGGTACAACAACAGAGAAGCACATAAGATGTACACACACACACACACACACACACACACACACACACACACACATATATAAAGACCTAGTCTTGAACAGCAAACTAATACAAATAAGTCCTTCAAGAATGTACAACAACAAATGGTTTGTTGTTTTTGCAGTCCACTCCATGAATCTGAAATTAAATGCTGAACATTAGAAAGAAGTAGAGCTAGCCATTCTGTGACCAATAATTCACGGTCCACCTCCGGATTGGAAGATGCTTATGTATGTGGCTTGGTGCATTAGTTGTTTAAAATTTAAATTTCTTTTATTGGGGATTGCTCTTCATTCGCATCAGAAAACCTAAGTGCTCAATGATGCAAATTACAAATGCAACAGTGACTGTAGTTTACTTCATACTATTGAGTAATTTTACTAATAACATCTAGCATCTACACATGGACATTGTGGTTATTCTAAAGCAACCACCTTAGCACTTTCATGAGTTTACCTTTTGAAGTTCATAAATTGACATTAAGACTATCCACATTGAATCCCATAAAAGACTTCTGGCAAACCATCAAGATAAATAATGGAATTTTTGTTATGCTTGATTATATTTCATATTTAAATCATACTTCGTACAATTTTGATGCACATATTTCCAGTAGATCTTCTGCACGACATGTGACAATTGGCATGGGATTTAGGGAGCTTAGCCACAAGTCATACAACAGAGCTTATCACCAGAATAATATTAGTATGAACTTGGTATGTTTTATAACTTACTCCACAAAATCCAAATGTAACAATCCATAAACAACTCTAGACTGACAAAAAATTTACACGCATGCCCAAAACGCAACGTAAAATCGAATCTGGTAGAAACATCAAATCTGATTCCGCAACCCCATAAACTTACCACACAATGATCAAAGCTGCATTTTTGCGTTAATAATCAAGACTATAAAAAACAGGAGATTGGAACTTCATTATCTGTCTTCACTCTACAGAAAATAAATATGTTCCAATGATTTAACTCTCATTATTTAGTGGTTCTTATAATTGAACATTCCATTTCAAAGTAGTGAAAATCACCTGTCCATACTCACTAAGAGTATCAAATCCTACTATTCCAAGATCCAGATCTCCAGATAGCAACTTCCTCACAATGTCTTTAGGCCGCTGAAACCACACTTCCAAATCTGAAATCTAAAATGGCAGATATATCATGATTAGCATAGTAAACTTGGTTCCATTATATTTCAGACGAATAACAAAAAAATAAAGAAAGAGAAGATAAAATTATGAAAAGAAATTATCCATAACAAAAGAAAACAAAAGTTAGTGACTTTCAGATTCCCCCCTTTTTTCTACGAGCTTGTTGAGGGAGGGGTGTGACTGTGTGAGTAGAGGTGTCAAAATTGAACCGATCCGAAAAAATCATCAATTTCGAACTGTAACCCGAGAAAATTCAAGACCCAAATCCAATCTGTAACCGACTGAACTTAATTCGAATCCGAATTTAACCCGATCTGAACTTATTCTGGCACCGATTTGACCCAACTTGAACTCAACTCGAACCCGATATGACCTGATTTCAACCCAAAACGAACTGATTTGACCTGACTTGAACTCAACCCGATCCGAAAATGACCCAACAAATAACCGATTTAACCCGAACTGTTTTAACCCGAATTGATATTAACCCGACCCGATTTTAAACCGATCCGATTTTAATCGGGCCATAATTTTAAACCTAACTTATTATTGACTCTTTTTTTCAAGTTCTTATACTACTATATATTTACAAATTTACAAATTATTAAAAAGTTAGAAATTTTAAAACTCTAACAAGTATCTTATACAAATTGAATTAGTAAAAAAGCAAACTAATAGTACTCATAGCCTCATAAGATTAAACGATTGAAGAGTAGTACCTTAAAAAGAGGACATTCTTTTTTGTATGTCACCATATGTGACTATCATCAATCAATCTATCATTCTATCACTAGTTCATTACTATTTGTCACACTTATGTACGTAGGTATGATAACTCATCGATAATTATTCAATTTGAATTTGGCTCCAAGATAAATATTACATAAGAGTTGATTGAATGAGAAAACTAATTCTTTGCATTTCGTAATTAACCGCGCAATATGAGAAATGACACGTGAATTACTTGACATCGACCCAATAATAAGGTAAAAATTCAATAATTACTCTAGTTTAAAAATGACCTTATTTGGATATTGAATTTGGTCAACACGACCAAAATCTAAACAAACACAGAAAGAATTTGAATCGGAATTGACCAAATACATAACCAACCTTATCTTAATCGAACCGAAATCAACCCGTCTGAAATACATCTGACTCGAAATTTGGTAAAGTTTTGAACAGTATAAAACTTATATTTCAAGATCCTAAAGTTTTACAAAGTTCTATTAAAGGGTGCATCATATTAAAACGATACACATAAATACTTGATTGGTAATCTTCGCAACTACTCAAAATTGGCTTTTTCGAGCTAACCAAAACGACCATTATAATGACAATTGGCAACGCTCAAAGTCAAAAGAGGGAGCTATGCACAAAAAAACTACTCATATAAAGTCTTCTTAATAGCATACCTCTGTCCACATATGTAATGAATATTATTTCATAAAAACTCAATTTATTGATTAAACATTAAGCTTTGAGCATAGAGATATAATTTTCTTGATTATACTGTGAATTTAAGTTTAATGACTGTAATTACATTCCTTACGCCAAAAACTTTTAGAATTTCATCCTTTGGTTGACCCATTATGAGTTAATGCCTTGAAAAGGGTTAAACTTGTAATTTTGATTTCAGTAAAAGTTTAGTTTCTGATTTTGTATTTCGAAACCAATCTAAAATAGTTTTGGCTTCTCGGGATAAAGTTAAGTACATACCTCTCTATACTCCATCTTGATAGGATACGCTTATACACGGACATACTTCCTCCGTTCACTTTTAATTGCAACACTTGACAATTTACACTATTCAAATCCTTACAATTGATCTACTTTATTGATTTATATGTTAGGCAAATATAGTCATGCGGAATTTTGTTAGATTCTTTTCAATTTATATTTTCACAATATCTAATTTTTGTACTTTTTACTCGTCACAATTAAAGATATGGAAGATTAAAATCAGGCATTGGTAAGCGTGAAAGTCAAAGTGTTGTAACTAAAAGGTAACGAAAGAAATAGTTGTTTATTCTAAATTTAGTGAAAATATCAAGCTTTAGTGACTCTTGTGAGACAAAATCTTAGGCTTTGAATAAGGGCTCAAAAGGTACATCTTTGGAGTTGACCACCTCGATTCAAAAAGAGTTTGCCTTATGTTATGTGACTTTCAAGATGAAATCAAGACTCAAAAGTTAATTTGGAGAAGTGAAGGCTAATCCACAATTCCACATATGGTTGTGGCGTTCAATATTTTCATCTTAATCATATTGCATCAAAGGAGGATGTGAAAATTAGAATCATTATTATGATGTACCCATAATTAAGACCACCACAATGTTCAAAGAAAACAATTGCACCAGCATGAATTCTAGATGAACAAAGTTTTGAACTTAACATAGACAGTTTTGATCATGGTCACAGCTATGGTGTATATTGCCTACACTATTTTAGCTTCATTGCCCTATAGGTGGTTTTAGTCCATTCTTACGAGGTCTCTGAATTTCTCCTCAAATACAGTCTTCAACATTTATCTTTCCTTTTCAAGGCCATAAGCATTAGATCATGCATTCTGAATTTAAGGCTTATGTTATAGCTTCATTACATATAGCAAAGTAGTTAAACCCCCACTGGCTTTATTCTATGCTCAATATGGATTCTCATTATGGACTTCACAACACTCTTTTCTCTAAATCTCCTTTGTAAATTTGTTTTAATGACCTGCTTGTGTCATTAATCATTCACTCAATGATTTATTTAGTACAGGTTCAGCTACTGCACATGGAGACAAAAACTAAGAAAAGGCTTCATCTACGGTCATCATCCATCAAAATTGCAGTTTCGAAATACTTAAAATGTTGTTGCATTCTTATTGTTTTTCAAAAGGGCAAAACTGAACGATACCACCCTTAACACTTAAATATTCTATTGACTACTGATTTGACTTTTAGGTAAGCTTCAGGGTAAAACACCGTGTCTTTATATTACTCATAACTGGTGGTGAGCCCCACTTTCATTACTTTAAACTCAACATACCTTTCATCAAGGACTTCAATATATTAGCTTTCATTTAATGTTCAAATAGCGCACTTAAAATACACATGCACACAATATTGTCATTTCATCTGCACATGACAAGCCTCATTGCAGTTCTAATTTCTAAATACAACAAATAGCGATGAAACAAATAATCTTGTGCAACACAAACACAAGATCTACAACTATGAATTACTCGGGAAATAAATTAAGTTTGTTCTACACTCTATCTACCCAGCCTACGGATTTATAAACTTGTAGGAAAAAAATTTCAGATTTCATATAAAGTATCTTAGAAAACCAACATATGCCTATTATAAGGAATTAACAGGTGTTATTTACTTAACCAGGAAAGTAATTTCTTCTTCCATACCGTAATTCAAGACTAAAAATCAGTCCCAAGAATTTGCTTTCTCAATCAATAAGGTTTCAGGTGTATGCATTAACATCCTTAAAACTCCAATAGATATTCAGATCTTCCAGTTATCTGCTAATTCTACCACACTTGTCATCCATTGAAAGCAATATATCAGCAGGGCCACTTAAAAATTAAGTAAAATGTTTAATTTTCCCTTGTATTCTTATATAGAACAAGGCATTTCTGATGTTGACAAGCAACAGTACATATAATTGTTAGTAAATCGGAAAGTTATGGATGCCATAATGTTTGAATCACCTTAAGAAAAATCCAAGGAAATCAAACTTATCAACATTTACTTAACCAGTCATATGATCAAAAGAGCATAATGGCATAGCATATTGTCACCCTTATTGACCTGGAAGCAAGGATGATCATTTCAAAGCCAAAAACAAGTCCAACACCCAACGTGGTACCAACATTAGAAACCAAAAAGCCCAACAAAAAGATTTCCACCGTTCTTGAATATGAAGTGATTACAACAATTGGAGTTGTACACTTGTTAGTCGGCAATCCACAACATTGACCATTAATATCTCTATTAATCTATTTATAAAAATTTATAAAAAGTTGATACTGTGAAAGTATACATTGAGATGAATCCAACAATGTTTTACATAATTATGTTTGTCCTTATATCTTGAAGAAAATATGATCAAATTTAGTTTATGAACAGAGGTAGATTTAAACTCACATAGAAAAACAAAAACAAACCAAAAAAAAATGGTATTCCAACACCTATTATCTCAAAAATCAAAACCAAAAGTTCAAACCCCAAACACAATGCAACTAGTATCTCAAACTCAAATCCATCAGTAGCTACAATCTAACATTCAATGTCATTTTTTCGAAAAATCGAAACAACAGTAGTTGATATATCTTGAACCGAAGCTCAAAATTTGTCCAGCATAACATGAATTAATGTATTCTAATAAGCCACACTGTAATCAGTAATTAGTATATCTTGAACCGAAGCCCAGCATAACATAAACTAGTGTAATCAAATAAGTCAAAATAATTAGTATATCTTGAACAGAACCATGTTGTCTAACATAACATGAACCAATGTAATCAAATAAAACACAGTAAATAGTATATCTTGAACCGAAGCTCAAACATTTGTGCAACATAACCTGAACTAATGTAATCAAATAAGTAATTACCTTGAACCAAGGCACGCCTTTAGTAATGGAAAACAGATTAAATGAAAAAAAAAAAAAAAAAGGAAATTATAAGAAACATACAAACCTGAGGAATTTGAGCAACATATTGCCGTGGATTCACTTGCCTCACAGACAACTGACAATCCTGAATTTCAACAATCAACCAAATAAAAAACCAAAAACACAAAAAATCACAACAAATTTCACAAAAATCACAGAAAAATTAACACAAACCTTAAGAAGTTCAAGAGTATCAGAAGCCATACGACCTTTACTAGGAAGACCAAGCCGAATTTCGGCACGCGCAGTAGGCCGTAAATCAGCGTTTCCATTAACGACATTCAGCGGCGAAGGAGATGTTTGGCAGCAAGCGTTGACAGAGAATTTCACACAAAAGCGAGAAGAGGAAGAAGGAGGCAAGGAAATTGATGGCGGAGAATGAGGAAATGCGGAGAGAGACGGACATTGTTGAAGGAATGATTGTTGAAGCATCGTTGCATTTGTCGTTGTGGCCGCCATTGTTGAAGTGCTGGTGTTGCTGCTGAGACTGTTGCTAAAACAGGGAGATTGAAAAGGGTGGGTGAGAGATGTGAAGAAGAGAGGATGGAAATGTGAGATTTTGTTGTGTGACTGTGTGTGGTGTGGCTTATTATGTTTACCAAGGGACAATTACTATGGAATATGCTTTTGTCTTTCTATAAATACTTTAATAATTAATTAATTAAATTTGGTAATGTGGTAAGTCTTCGGATTCCGATTAATAATTTAATTAAAAGTTAGTAATAAAAATATTTATAATTGTAAGGTTTTTTATAGGGAAAAGAGGGAATGAAATAAAATTGATAATAAAATTTAAAGTTTAAAAGGAAGTGATAATTATCACCCCTAACAATGTGAGCTAACTCTGGTAGGATATTATGTAGTTGTTGGGTTTCTTAGGTTTTGAAGTGATCACAAACATGTTAGATGATTGCTGCTTGTTTTACATAATTATGTTTGTCCTTATATCTTGAAGAAAATATGATCAAATTTAGTTTATGATCCTTTTTAATTGCTTTTGTTTTTCAAATGTAATTAATAAGAGTAATTAGGTTAGGGAGGACATATGCTCTAAGTTGAGCCAAAACTCGGTAAGTCTCAATGTTCTTATCGCTTCTATAATTCTACTGTTCCAATGTGCATTTGATTGGGAAAAATTTTATAAGTTCACCATTTGTTATTGCACTCAATCCTTCTTGAATACCAGTTGCACTCTCAGTTTCCTCCATTATTGACAATTATTTTACACAACAATTTACTAGCCAAGTTGCGATCTTATTTGCTTCACAATCACAATGAGATCAAGTGACGATTCATTCTACTATTCTGATGTGCAGGAACCAGGTTCTACTAGTTCTCCTTTTACTGGGAAAAAATTTAAAAGTTTGCCACTTGTTACTGTAAACAATTCAAACTTCATCCTTCTTGAACACCAGTTACACTTTCAGTTTGCTCCATTATTGACAATTGTTGTACACAATAATTTGCTAGCCAAGTTGCGGTCTTATTTGCTTCAAAATCACAATGAGATAATGTGATGATTTACCCACTTCTTGGGATTAAAGATTTGCAATGTGCAGACACCAAAAAAAAAGTGTATCCCCATTTTGGCACTGGATGACGAAACAATTCTATACACAATTGGCTCGACTCAAAAGGTGCATGACAATGTTGCTAAGTTTAATGCATTTTTTTTACTGTCAAAACCCCCTACCTAGCCCTGAATTGAAAAATCCAAAATACTACTTAAGTTTTAAAGTCGAAGTCTAATCTACAACCCCTAAAAGTCAAACCCCAAACCTCCCTCACCTTTTCGTAAACCTCCAAACACCAAAAATATCTTCACTAAACCTCCTTGAACCCCATCTTTCTAAAACCCTTGGGGATAAACCAAAGCAAAACTATCACACACACGACATCGTGTGTCAAATATGTGATTGTGCTTCAGATGCACGACATGTCGATATGTGCTTCAAACGCATAACCTGGTTTGCCAAACTATTTAATGAAAAGAATTAATTGAGTATTTTAGAAAGCTTATTCAAAAGCATGATCATTCATTATTGAATTTATTCCTACTAAGCGGAATTGGTAAGTACGGCTATTAATATTAGCGAGGTCGTCATCTACCAGAAATGATGCAACATTAACCGTTACTTTGGGTCATTATGATCCAAAAAATTATGGGATATTGATAGCTTTGAGGGGGGGGGGAAGGGGAGATTCGTGATAGACAAGTCCATGTAGAATTGAAGAACGACTTGGTTGACCATTTCTGGTCAAGGTCTAAGAACACAGTTGTGGTTAGTATTTCACTTGTTTTTGTAAAAAAAATCATGTATATTATTTTTGGGTTGCTTATTTCATTTTGTGTATTTCATGTTTTTAATTCATGTATTTTAATCACATGTATTTGATCTTAATTACTATGTTAAGTGATGTATTAGCATTTAAAATTATTATTAACGTACTAATTTACTTAAAAAAAATTATGTTCACGTTTTTTATAAATGTTAATTACTTTTTTTATTAGTTAACATAATGATAACTTAATCGACATCTTTTAAATACTTAATTAATAATTAAATATATTAATAGAAGAGAAAAGAAATGTGGGGTACATGTAAGTAGGAGAGAAGATGGAAAAGGATCCTTATGTATGGAAAGTAGGAGACGGGAAGGGAGACAAAATCCTCTTTGATATGTGACTAAATATAAAAATAGAAAGAGGAAGATGAAGGAATATCTTAGTGGGAAATGATGTAAAAGATAGAGAATATGATGTGTCAAAATGAGGGAACATTTTATTTTTAAGCAAGTATAAAATATTCCTTTCTTCGACACTCTACTCGAACTAAATGGCGATGAAAGGTTTTACTCATCATCGAGTTTCGGTCGGGGAGATATTTTTAGGTTTCTACAGAAGCCCCCATTTTGATTGAGTTTTTAGAGACGTAAGTCTTGAAAACGAAAGTCAAAGTAGTTGATAGGGATGGAGAATGATTTAAAATGTTCTACAATTTTAAACCATTCTATATACACTAATACCTGCAGAAAAGCGTTAGTTCACGGATAAAAGAGTAAAGGGATATAAATGCGTATCTATTGCTAGGGCGTCGACACTAAATATGCTGGTAGTTTTCTACGCCTCGAGAAATCTACTGTGAGCTCCCGCACCCCGAGCAACTCACTAAATATTGATAAATGAATGAGTGACGATTCGTTGCGCCTGTAGGACATCATCAGATGAATGATTGACAACTTACGACGGGCGTAGGACGCTGTCGAAAGATTGTTGACAATTTGTAGCTCCCGCAGGACATTGTCGGATGAATACTGATTGGCAACTCCTTACACCCGTAAAATGTTATTGAAAATATGGTTGACGACTCATTACGCTCGTAGGACACCGCTGGATGAATGGATGACAATTCACTACGCTCGTAGGATATTGTCGGAAAAGATGATGAATGATTCACTACGCCCGCAGGACATCACCCGAAGAATGGAAACTCATTACACCCGTAAGACATTGTCGCAGAAACAAATTGACGACTATCTATGCCCGTTGGACGTCGTTAGATGATTGAAAATTCATTACGCACGTAAGAAAGTGTTGAAGAGATAAATCACGAACTTCTACGTCTTGAGAAGGAAATAGAGACGATTCACTACGCTCGTAGGACATCCCCTAAATTGTTGGATGACAATTCACTACACCTGTAGGACATGACCAAGAGATGAGTAGTAATTCACTACGCCCGCAGGACATGAATTACTAAAGTGCTCGATTGCCTCCGAACCGAAAGTATAGTAGTAGTTCGATTGTCTCTGAAAAGAAGCTATGGATGATGATGATGATAGCACCTTTAAATCATATATGTCTCATTGTATAAGTATATAAGCATTTCTCAATACCTTCAAATCATTTGCATCTGTTTGTATAGATATTGAAATGATAAAGGTGGAGGGCAAGGAAAACTGAGTGTAAAGAGACACATAATGGAAGGACAAAAGGAGACCAAACTTACTTGACAATGAAGCACAATATAAACTCGGGATAGCTTTTTGAATGCAATATTTGTCATCTTAGATTGAATGAAATAAAAGATATTGTAGGGCCAACGATAATCCAGAGTAAAATGCACTTAGGCTTCAGGCATCTCTTTTAGCTTTTAATAGCAATGTGTTGCTTTGGTTATTTTATTTGGATATTGATATTCAGTCATATACACTATTGTAGGGAATATTTCAAGCATTATCCCAAACTTGAACTCCACCGTGATCATACACTTAAGTATGGTGGCGTCTAGAGGGAAGGAAGCTAGAGCAAAAGAGTCGCCAACAAGTTTTAGGAACTTGTAAACCATTCACATGGTGAAGGTTACACCCCTTAGCGATCCATGAGATCGTCAACTTCAATAGGTCTGGAACCATGAATGGTGTTCGGGGATGAGGGTACGAATCCAATCTAAAAGAGAAAGAACTCGCCCTATAAAATAGGCCTCTACTTGTAGGGGTTTGGTGAGTCCTACTCACCGCGGAAAAAACCCAAGCCAAGGATCACGCTCGCAATAATTAATATCACTAATGCATAAAATAATTACAAAGGGAAAATAGGAAATATACTTTTATCGCTTGCTTCGCCTGACCAATTGGGCTCTTACTTGAAAGCTAGCTCGAAAACACGAAGGCCTCCAACGGAGATCCACCCGCAAAACAACTACCGACTTTAAGATCCGTTTCCTCGAGGTTAGCGAGGCCCAACCAAAGCCCGAGTATTATGTGAGTTCAAGGGTTTTTGCAATGGCAATGCCCTATTAAACTCCTACTCAAGCAAAGAATTCTCAAGCCATGCTTTGGCTATTTATAAGGAAGGATAACTTGTGAATTCCACTCATCTTTCAATGTGGGAATTTTTCACAAAAAGATCCCACATGGAAAGATTGATAAATTCAACCCTTAGTTAAATAAACCAAGGAACAAGTAACAAGTGTCACATGGTTAGGTGAGGACCACCTCCCCACTTGGTCCCCAAGGCAACTCTCATGCATTGTGAGCTAACCATGTGCCACCCAACCTTGAGCCCCAAGTTGGGTTCGGTTGGGCACTTTCTTTTGGCCCGTGTCCATGACCCGTCACTCGGGTCCATGACCCTTTGCCACATGTTCCGCCACCGTGGCGCGGTGCCACCATGGCGCGCTGCCACATGGCACGCTGCCAATTGGTGGCTGCTTCCACTTGGCGGTTGCCAACGTGGGTTGCCACGTGGCACGCTCCTATTTGGCGCACTCTTCTAGCGTTTCACGTGGCTAGGATTTTCCTTGTTACTTGAAGCATTTTCTAGTCTTGCCAAATCCTAAATTTGGCTCGACATTTGAGATTCTCCGACGCTCGGTTTCGACGCTCCAAGCTCGAATTTCGACGTCTAAATATTAATTACTCGGCGACTCATTAAATTTTTCCGAATTAATTCGTCGTGTCGGTTCATTCACTGCTTGGGTGTGACCCGAAGGGTTCAGTCAAGATTAAGCTGTAATATTAATTATGCATTAATATTACTGATCGGAAGCGGCCTCCACCCAGGCATTCTGATCACTTGACCTTACCGAATATAT